TCTCACTGAGTTACTCACCCCCTCCCCCCCCTTCTTTCCTTTTCCTCAGGTGAAAGTGAGAATCTTGAGTAGCCGCGCAAGTCCGTCTCGTTACTGGTGTTTATTTTGGGAAACTTGGGTTTTATTTACTTTACCATTATTTTCTTATTTATGACTATTTAAGTTATTTTACGAAATAATGAAGACAAGTTATTTTTAAGGTTTTTAATAAAGGAAGTTTTTTTCTTATAAGTATGAGTAAGTAAGATAGATGAAATGTCTAATAAGGCAAGTAGCATGCTGTCTCATTTTTTTCAGGGAGACGGGTGTTACAAATGGTATCAAAGCCAGGTTAAAGCCAAGCCGGTGCTGACCCGGACGGCTAAGTTTTATTTTATTTTTTAAAAAATAGATTTTAACAAAAACGGGAATGGGGGTTTTTATCAAAAGAAAAAAAAAAAAAGCAACACCAGTAGAGCGGGACTTGGGTTTAGAGTTTCTTTAAAGTTTTAGTTTCAGTGGTTCTTATGGTTGACCTTGTGTAAACAGAAAATGGCACTAGGCAGACGAGGAGGTAGACGGGGTGGCACAAACCTTAGAGGAAACCGAGTAGGGGATGCACCTATTGATGAGCGAGACCAACATGAAGCAAGAGAGATTCCAGTTGCACCTCATGCAGCGGAGATTGCTGCAACTCGTGCGGAGATGCCGGTGCTCCGAAACATGATGCGGGAGATTTTGGAGCGACCTGTGTATGCACCCCCACCACCACCTCCAGCAGTTGCACCTCATCAGGCAGCACCAGTTGCACCTCAGCAGGTACCACCAATACCAGCGGTTGTTCCTCCTCAGCACCATCAGGCACCACCACCGCCACCAGCAACCAGAGTTGAGTATTCTTACTTTGAGATAATGAAGCTCATGAGTACGATGGGCACTGAGTATTTCACAGGTGGAACTGATCAAGTTCGGGCCGATGATTGGAGACAAATGTTGGAGAAACATTTCAGGTCAGCAAGATGCCCAGTGGAGTATAAGAGGGATCTTGCAGTGCATTACTTGAGGGGAGATGCAGATAATTGGTGGAGGAGTGTCGAAAAGAGCTTACCAGTCGGATATGTGCCTACTTGGGAGGATTTTCTTTCGGAGTTCAATAAGAAATACTTTCCTCAGGAAGCTATGGATCTGCTTGAGTGTGCGTTTTTGGAGCTTCGTCAGGGAACAAAGACTATTAGGGAGTATGACGATGAGTTCACTCGTCTATTAAGATTCACAAAGACAGACCATGGAGAGCCGGAGTTGATTCGTAGATTTATGAGAGGACTAAGGGCTAATATTCGTAACCGTTGTTCTATTAGAGGATGTACTAGCAGGGTTGAGCTAGTTGAGCAAGCAGCTACGATGGAGAGGGGACTTGAGGAGGAAGCTAGAGATCTTAGGATTACTCAGCAGAGAGCAACTAAGGGAGCAGAATCACTGAAGCGTACAACAGATAACCGCGATGCAGGTTCAGGACAGACTCGTTACTTAAAGTGTACCAGGTGTAATCGAAAGCATGGAGGGGTGTGTTGGTTGGATTCAGGCAAGTGTTTCCAGTGCGGTAAAGTTGGTCATACTAGAGAAAATTGTCCAAAGGGAGTGGATACTTGTAGGAGGTGCGGACAGCGGGGTCACTATGCACGGGAATGCACTACGCAAATGGTAATGGCGGGAGGACAGCAGCGGAATCAAAACCGAGGAATTTTACCACCACCACCACCAAAAAGGCAAGCAGTTGGACCTCGAGTGTACGCAGCAGCGGGCGAGGATGGAGCAGAACCGATTTTGGGTAAGTTTTCATCAAAGCTTTTATCTATTTTCGTTGTGGTAGTTAGTTGTTATGGTTTTTGTGTGTGGGGGTTCCTTAGTTTATAAAAAAAAAAAAAACTCTGTAGGATCGGTTTTTATTGGGGGAGTTTCAGCCTGTACAATGTTTGACACTGGAGCTACCCATTGTTTTGTGAGCCCCAATTTGGCGAGGAATTGGGATTCCAGAATCGACTTTACAGAGAAACGAAGGAGAATTGAAACCGCTGGAACACAGTTAGTAGGATCATCGCGGACTTACAGAGACGTTCCTGTGGTGATAGGCGGAGTTGAGCTGCTGGGAAATTTT